TCCAGGTGCTCTGGCTTCCTTCTGTGGCCCACAGACTTGCTGGTGGGCTGATTGGCTTCTGGGAAAACTGGCCCTGGAGTGAGTGTGTGTGATGGACTGGCGTCCTGCCCAGGGTGTACCCTGCCTTGCACCTGTTGCTTGCTGGGATAGAGTCCGGCTCCAGCAGTTGCTGGAATTGTGCTAAATGCATGAGTGTGTTATACAGCTTGAGCACAGCCTCCCCTGAGTCAGATAGGTCTGTACTGGCATGTTGTTTGCCTTCCTGCTCAGCGTGAACACCCTAGTCCAGCTCGGTCCAGCTCGGCCTCAGCGCAGTGTTGAGTTTAACCTTTGACCCCACGTCCGCTGTCTCCCCAGCGCCCCCCGGCCGCCTGATTAAGGAGGAGTTTATCCACGACTGCATCCAGATGGACAGCGCCCCCCCAGGCCTGCCCCCCCCGCCCGAGCACGTGGGGCTGAAGCTGCCCCCCCCGGAGCACTATGGACAGCCCCTGCCCCCCCTGCAGCTGTCCCCCGAGCCGCCCCGCGCCCCCCCGCCCGGCGGCCTGTACCCCAGCCTCCCCCTGTCGCCCCCAGGTGAGCAGGCAGCGTGTAGACACCGAATGTATCTCTCTCCTCTCTCCTCCGTTCACTCAGATTTACAGTTGTACTATGATGATCAGTGAATCACGGTGTTTTCTCCTTCTCTGTCTCCCTGTCTCTCTCCTCCTCTCTCTTTACTATCTCTCTCCTCCCTGGCTCTCCTCCTGTGTTTCCTTCCCTCTCCTCCTGTCTCTCCCTCTGCTTGTGTCTCCTCCTGCCTCTCTCACCCCTCTCTACTCTCCTCTCTGTCCTCCTGTCTCTCCCTCTGTCTCTGTCTTCTTCTCTCTCTCCTCCTCTCTCTCGCTCCTCTCTCTCCTCCTGTCCCTCTCTCTCGCTCCTCTCTCTCCTCCTCTCTCTCCTCCTGTCCCTCTCTCTCACTGCTCTCTGTCCTCATGTCCCTCTCCCTCTCTCCCTCTCTCTCCTCCTCTCTCTTGCTCCTCTCTCTCCTCCTGTCCCTCTCTCTCGCTCCTCTCTCTCCTCCTGTCCCTCTCTCTCCTCTTCTCTCTCGCTCCTCTCTCTCCTCCTGTCCCTCTCTCTCCTCTTCTCTCTCGCTCCTCTCTCTCCTCCTGTCCCTCTCTCTCGCTCCTCTCTCTCCTCCTGTCCCTCTGTCTCTCTCAGCCTCCAGCTCCATGCTGCCCTTGCCTGCTCACAGCGAGGGACTCCTGCAGATCGCACCGCCCGCTCCGCCCCAGACGATGGCGCCCACGCCGCCTCCCTCCGCCCCCTCCCAGAACGGCTACAGCACCCCCACGCACAGCCAGCCCCAGAGCAGCTTCCACAGTGAGTCCCGGGTTCGAGGCTGTGCTGTCGTGGAGACGCTGTCTCGGTGTGCTAGCGTGTCAGTGTGTCCCAGTGTAAGAGAGTGAACTGCGCAGGCACGAGTGAGCTCACAATCGTGCCCTCTCTCCCTCTCTCCCTCTCCCATCCATGGCAGCGACCTGGACAGGCAGTAGCACAGCCGCCTACACTCCTGTAGGACCCCAGCAAAATGGGAGGAGCCACGCCCAGCCCCCCCTTCATCACCCCGCCCACTTCTGTAAGTCTCCAGTCCTCCATTGCACCTCCAGCCTATCACTCCCCTGCGGCACTAATCTGATGTCACTTCATTCCGGTCTACAGGGTCTCAGCATCAGAACTCCGCAGCCTTCCCTCCTCCTGTCTCCAGCCATCCAGGTACTGATGAGTACTGCTGCTTTCCCTGTCTCCCTGTCTCCCTGTCTCCCTGTCTCCCTGTCTCCCTGTCTCCCTGTCTCTCATCTCCCCTGGAGACAAGCTGAGATAGGCAAGCTCTAAGATAAGATCTAAGACTCTGACTAAGATAT